TGACTTTGGAAAGTAATGAGCCACATCAATATAGCTTGAAATCACTTCGGGATGCATTGAATCACTTCATAGACGTTCTGAAAGTACGCTCCAAAAGTACTGAATCACTTTTCAGAAAAGTTTGGAATCACTTCCGAAAACTTTGGAATAGCTTCGGAAAGTACTGAATCGCTTCAAACAAGATCGTTATCACGACAGAAAAGTTCGGAATCACTTAACCGCATCAATAAAGCTTGGAATCTCTTTGGGATGTACAGAATCAGTTCATTAGCCTTCAGAATCACTTCGGAAAGTACTGAATCACTTAAGAAATGCTCGGAACGTACTAAATCCCTTCATAAATATTCGGAATCACTTCGGAAAGCATTGAATCGCTTCAAGAAAGTTCTTAATCACATTAGTAAAGTTCGGAATCATTTCGATAAATATTGAATCACTTTAAAAAAAAATCGGAATCACTTCGTAAAGTACTGAATCGCTTCAGAAAAGTTCTTAACCACTTCTGCAAAGCTTGGCATCAGTTTGGAAAATAATGAACCACGTCAATAAGCATGCTATCACTTTAGGATGTATCGAATCACTTTATAGACGTTCCGAAAGTACTGAATCACTTTTCAGACAAGTTTGGAGTCACTTCGGGAAGTACTGAATCACTTCCGAAAACTTTTGAATAACTTCGGAAGGTTTGAAATAACTTCAGAAAATTTTGGATAGAACTGAATCACACCAAGAATGTTTGGAATCTTTTCGGGATGTACTCAATCAATTCAGAAAGGTTCGGAATCACTTCAGAAAGTACTGAATTGCTTCAGAAAAGTTTGTAATCGCATCAGTACAGTTCGGAATTATTTATATAAATACCGAATCACTTCATACAAATTCGGAATCACTTCGGAAAGTACTGAATCGCTTCAGAAAAGTTCGTAATCACTTCAGAAAGTGCCTAATTAATCAATAAAGCTTGGAAACTCGTCATTAGCGTTCGGAATCACTTCGGAAAGTACTGAATCACTTCAGAAATGTTCGTAATTAGTTCGGGTTGTACTGAATCAGTTCAGAAAAAAATCAGAATCACTTCGGAAAGACCTGAATCGCTTCCAGAAAGTTCCTGATCACATCAGTTTGTAAAGTAATGAGCCACGTCAATAATGCTTGCAATCACTTTTAGATGCATTTAATCACTTCAAAGACGTTCGGAACTTACTGAATCGCTTCCGAAAGTACTAAATCACTTTTCAGAAAAGTTTGCAATCACTTCGGGAAGTACTGAATTACTTCCGAAAGCTTTGGATTACCCTCTGAGAGTTTGGGGTGTACTAAATCAATTCGGAAACGTTCGGAATCACTTCAGGAAGTACTGAATCGCTTCAGAAAAGTTTACAGTTCGGAATTATTTCTAGAGTACTGAATCACTTCCTACAAATTCGAAATCACTTCGGAACACTCAGAATCACTTCAGAAAAGTTCGTAATCAGGTCAGAAAAGTTCGGAACCACTTTAGAAAGCTTCGGAAAGTGCTTAATCTTATCAGAAACGTTCGTGATTACTTCAGGATAAACTTAATCACTTCAGAAAAATTCAGAATCACTTCGGAAAATACTGAACCGCTTCAGGAAAGTTCCTAACCATACCAGGAAAGCTTGGAATAATTTCAATAAGTACTGAATCACTCCAGAAAAAAAAGTCGGAATCACTTCGAAAAAGTTCTTGATCACATCCGAAAAGTTCGAATTGAATCGCTTCGGGAGCTTTGAAATAACTTCAGAAAAGTTTGGATAGAACTGAATCACACCAAGAAAGTTTGGAATCTTTTCGGGATGTACTCAATCAATTCAGAAACGTTCGGAATCACTTCAGAAAGTACTGAATTGCTTCAGAAAAGTTTGTAATCGCATCAGTACAGTTCGGAATTATTTATATAAGTGCCGAATCACTTCATACAAATTCGGAATCACTTCGGAAAGTACTGAATCGCTTCAGAAAAATTCGCAATTACTTCGGGATGTATTGAATCACTTCAGAATAAATCAGAATCACTTCGGAAAGTACTGAATCGCTTCAAGAAAGTTCGTAATCACATCAGGAATTATTTCGATAAGTACTGAATCTCTTCTGCAAAGCTTGGCATCAGTTTGGAAAGTAATGAGCCACATCAATAATGCTTGCAATCACTATTAGATGTATTGAATCACTTCATAGACTTATCACTTTTCACTGCTATCACTTCAGGATGTATCGAATCACTTCATAGACGTTCCGAAAGTACTGAATCACTTTTCAGACAAGTTTGGAGTCACTTCGGGAAGTATTGAATCACTTCCAAAAACTTTTGAATAACTACGGAAGCTTTAAAATTACTTCAGAAAAGTTTGGAAAGAACTGAATCACACCAATAAAGTTTGGAATCTTCTTGGGATGTACTAAATCAATTCAGAAACGTTCGCAATCACTTCCGAAAGCTTTGGATTAACTTCTGAGAGTTTGAAATAACTTCAGAAACGTTTGGAATCACTTTGGAAAGAACTGCATCACACCCAGAAAGTATTTCGGGATGTACTAAATCAATTCGGAAACGTTCGGAATCACTTCAGGAAGTACTGAATCGCTTTAGAAAAGTTTACAGTTGGAATTATTTCTAGAAGTACTGAATCACTTCCTACAAATTCGAAATCACTTCGGAACACTCAGAATCACTTCAGAAAAGTTCGTAATCAGGCCAGAAAAGTTCGGAACCACTTTAGAAAGCTTCGGAAAGTGCTTAATCTTATCAGAAACGTTCGTGATTACTTCAGGATAAACTGAATCACTTCAGAAAAAAATTAGAATCACTTCGGAAAATACTGAACCGCAAGAAAGTTCCTAACCATACCAGGAAAGCTTGGAATAATTTCAATAGTACTGAATCACTCCAAAAAAAAGTCGGAATCACTTCGAAAAAGTTCTTGATCACATCAGAAAAAATCGGATTGACTTCAGAATTTACTGAATCACTTCAGAAACGTTCGGAATCACTGTGGAAATTACTGTACCACATCAATGAAGCTTGCAACAACTTCGAGGTGTACTGAATCAATTCATAAACGTTTGAAATCTGAAAGTAGTAAATCACATCAGAAAGCTTTGGAATAACATCGGAAAGTTTTATGACACTCCAGAAAAGTTTGGAATCACTTTGGAAAAAAAAACTGAATTGCATTAAGAAAGGTTTGAATCTCTTCCGAAACGTTCGGAATCACTTCAAAAAGTACTGAATCGCTTAGGAAAGGTTCTTAATCACGTCATTAAATATCGGAATCGCTTCTGAAGCTTTTCGGAATCGATTCAGTACATTCCGTAGAATGTTTTCTGAAGTGATTTAAAACGTTTTTTTTTCAGCAATGCTAAACGTATAAAGGTGATGCAGTATATTGTATGAATGATGCAATACTTTGCCAAGTGATTCCACACTTATGACGGGTAGATGTTAGGGGATTCACGAGATTCTCCGGGATTATTTCGGTGGTACGGTGGTTTCAAATTTCCACTCTTCATCTGGTTTTCCTATTCACTGATGAATCTGCTCAATCATCCACAGCCATATCTGAACCTATGCAGATCGTTGTCCGCTGCTTCAGTATCTGAAAACTAAACAGGCGATGGACCAGTTCAATCAAAGTGTTGTTCCGCTTTAGTATGATAGTGTATAAATTGAACAGAAATTGATATTGAGCGAAAGACCATTAATGTGACAGTACTAATCAAATGCTTTCTGCAACGTGGGGCTTTAGGTAGTGATAAACGTCGCTAGAACTATTCCACAACCGCAGACAGTATATGAGCAAGACAAACGTGCACTCTTTTGCCAGTGGTTTTGAGGAAATAACTCAAATCCCCTCACCCATCAAAGTGTGAGTTAGGTAAAGGAGTGCGCATGTGATTAGTATTGTCGCACTAATGGCCCTTCGCTCAATTTCAACTTCTATTAATTTTTCACTATCAATCTTTGCTCTTCAAAACTTTCTATAGCCAATAAATTATCGCACTAAAGCTTCATGTTGATATTAGTATAGCATTTCCTCCCAACTCTGATCATCTCAAGGACTTTGTTCTGGATGCTTTGCAGTTTGAGGTGTCGCTGAGATCTTCATCGCGGGAAGGATGATTTATTTGTGGACAGCAAGCTTGTTTTTCAGGGACAGGGTAGAGTGGATATTGCGGGAACAGTGATCTTATGAAGATGTTGCACTTGGTAGTGTAGGCTACCTCTATGATCACTTCACCACTGAGCCATTTAAACTGAGTTTGCGGAACAAGTCTAGTTTGTGAATGTGACCTGGGTCTTGTTACTATATAGGAACCATTTTAGCATTTTTTTTTTTTAGTTCTTAATATCTTCTCGCAGCTACTCTCAAAGATGCGTTCTCAATGTGATTCTAAATTGTAGGATAAAACTACAACACATATTAACATAACTGTCCAAGATGTCTGTAGATTATGCAAAAGTAATACAGTTATGTCAAATAAATATTAAATTAACCTAAAGATCATTTGAGTGAAACATAAATCAGAATAAAAAGAACTAGGTATCTACCTAGATAGTCGCCATCATAATATATAAAATAAGATTCTGAGTCATCTGAATGTTATCGATGTTCAATCGCACCAAAAGCATCGCTGTCATTCTGTAATTTACCAAAGGCAACCGTCTACACATCCTATCGATCAAACGCACCATTTACAGCTCAGAACCGCCAGATAGTTCCTTCCCAAACTTGGTACCGTAAATGAATTCCACCCCCAAAAACTAAGTCCAACCAAGTCGGGCGTAGCCGATCTTCAATCATCCGAGTTGTTCAATAGCCATACGCGCGAGCAATAATCTCAAGTCCCCCCGAATAGCGGTACCAGTTACACAGTTCCAAAAGCAGTCAACCCGCACATCTATTCTTCAGACCCGAGCCAGAGTAATAATACACCACCCAGCTAATTTAAGATTATATTATACAACCCGTTTGTCCCAGATTGGTGCTTTCCGCTGCCAAATATGTACAAGAAGAAAAACACAACGAAATGATGAATCCCCCTGCCCCCCACACAAACACAGACACCCCAAGAAGAGACCTCTAATTTAAGCTTTCAATACGCAATTCGCTCTCGTTCGCATTAACGATTATTTATAGCAAACACACTATCAATTAACGGCCGAGAATAAAAAGTAACAAACAATAAAAATGGTGATACATTATTCATCGTTTTCGCCCGCTCTGTGGCACTTCTTTCTGAATCCGAACTCCCTCAACCAATCGACAGAACTCCACCACCTCCGTCAGAACTCGATCAAATAAGGAGACTTACCTGCAGTCGCACGATGTCGTCATCCTTCTCGATTCCAGTCTCCTTAACAGCGGCCGACTTTACCACCACGATGTTGTGTGCGGAATTGGTCGCCGTCGTGCTCGTATAAGGTCGCTGCCTACCAACGAACATGGCACTGCCACCGGTGCCGATGCTGCTGCCTGCACCGCCACTGCGAAACGCTTCCTGTGTTCTGCCCACGATAACGCTGTTGGGGCGCATTTTGCCCGCTTTCGTCTGCTGCTTGTTGCGCAACTTGGGCGAATCTGCGAGTCGTGGGAGGAGTGCTCAAATTAGTCATTCTTGCGGCGAAGCGACAAATGGATTCACTTACCACCGATGGGCTTGTCCGTGTAGGATATGTAGGGTAGATCGGAATCGGAGCACACGCTCATCGGGGGCGACACCGGTCGCGAATCACAGATGTACGCCGACGACGGTGTCCCCGATGAGGACGGACCCCCGCCGTCGTCTAGGCTGAGAGCGGATAACTCCGTCACGGCGATCGTATTGCCCCGGAGTAGCTTGGCTCCGGAGGCAGTCGATCGCGATGGAGTCGGAGTGGCATTGCTGGATTGAGCGCGCAGACTTCCGCCGCGGATGGTTCCGGCTTCGGCCTGCTGCTGTAGCTGGGACTGTTCCGATCCCATAGTCCAAGGAAATGGTTCAAATCTGTAAAGAATGTTTCGAAAGGAGGTGATTTTAATACATAACCATGCTCAGATTATAAGCTCGCATCGTGCCTCTTTAGAGAAATCATCTTCAAGCAGCAGCAACGCTAAATGAAAACATCGAAGCGTTTAAACTGTAATTATTCAAATCGACCAAACATTCCAAATCACCATGCATCGCCCTAAATATCCATAAAGCTCCCCTTCGATTCGAAACCAACCGAATAATCTGCTAGGCAGGTGAGAGCGTACGGTGTGCATCTTCTTTTCTTCGCGGTTGCTGCGGTTACGGCCTGCTTCAGCTCATAATTGGCCATCAAATGCAACACGCGACGCTGACGACGACGACGACGACGACGATGAAAACGCTGTTATCGGCGGCGTTCCGTGGTGAGAAATCTGTCACCAAATGAGAAATCGACAGCTGGGAACTTCAAGGTCCCCGGCAGCTGGCGGCAGTCTGCATTTGGATGTTGAGTTTGGAAGATTTGAATTTTTCGGGTGAAATGTGGAAGTTATCTTCGTTAGGTTTGATTCTGTCGACCGTGTGCTGGACGTTTACGAAGTTGTCTGGAAGCAGTTCGGAGCGGGAAGCCTTTAGTGAGATGGACAGCAAGCTGCTGGCACGGGCTATCGGTGATCAATTGGAAGTGATGGTGAATGGATCTGGCAGTCCTGTGGTGGGTAGGTACTTCTTGAACTAAGGTAAGAATTGACTTTTATATGGGTGTGAATTTTTGTCAGAAGTCGGTTATACCTGCTGTATTGGACAATAAATAGTATTCTCTGAAGACTGCACATTGTAGTCGAAATACGTATCTGTCATCGATACCAAAATTAATTAAGTGAAATTAAATGGAAGATAACCTTTTTTTTTGTTTTATTTAAGCATTCCATTCTAACAACCCAATTTCATTATTTCATCAAAATAATGTTTTATTTCAAAGTTCAAGTGGTAGTAAACGTCATTTTAACTGCTCGAATGAAGTGGTTAATTCTTGTAAAATAACTGCCCATTTTTAACCCAAATCAACTGAAATTTTGCTCTTTTGTAGTCAAAATAATAATCTCTTTGAAACGCCTTTAATTTTACAAAAAATTGATCGCGACAAAAAGCAAGTTACAGCAATTTGATTACACTCAATTCTGTTTTTACGCGACTTTCATTATTTAGATTTTGCCCTTATACTGCATTTGTCATACCACCTGACGTGTAAATTTACATAGATTTCATAATTCAATTAGTTCTAAAAACATCACTTCTCAATCTTTTTCTGCTCAACAAGTTGCATTTTGTCGGGAATCTATTCATGTTTTTTAACACGTCCGAAAAAAAATTCGGATCAATCAATTGGTTCTGAAGTTATTCCGGTTTCCGTTGGGGTCAGTCAGGGTCGGCATTCGGCTTTACTGTTCTGTTATAATCATACATACGGTGAACATAATATTTTCTCAATCAAATGATGTAATTGGACCCTTTACGGCTATACCGATGATCCATGATCACATTGGGCATCCCGGAAAAATTCTGGTACCCCCGGGGATGTGGCCAGTTCTCAACCAGAACCAAAACCCTTCGTGCGACATATCAAACATCATGATGTTACAAAACATGGCCGGTAATGGCCTTATTGATAGTCTACGGTCACACTAGAACCCCCGGGCTTGTTCCAGTGACCCCGGAAATGTTTCAGTACTCCCGGGAAAGAGAGCAATTTTCAACAAGAACCAGAACCCGTCGCACAGTGGGACGAAATAAAAAAAGTGCGACATGGCCATTTGTGGCGAAACTATTCAGTGAAGCATTTCGATGTCTTCTAGAATGATTCTTCAATTTTTGAGTACATTATTTGAGTGGTGAAAATTTTTGATTAAGGGGGATATACACTCAAATAAAAAAATTACATTTTTAATGCTTGTTAAAATCGATGAATATTGTAGATGCAATCATTTTAAGAAACTTTGTCGAACACGACAATTTTCTATCTCTCAAGTGAACGAAGGATGATAGCACTCTTCAAGCACAGACACAACACGTTCCGGGTGTTTCCATTCGCAAACGACCTCACACTCCTTGGTGGGATAAGGATTGACCGACGCAAACAGCGAGAAGTCCGCCGCGTTTAAACGCTTCCGCAAACATTGATAAGGTCGAGCGGTACACCGACCTTGAGAAAACTTTTAAGGACTTGATTAAAGCCAAACACGCGGTTACTGGCGTCGGTTCGTGGATGGTTTGTCGCGAGAGACTTCCATGAGAACACTCTGGAATGTCGGCAGGAGAATGCGAAACGCGTCATCACCCGTTAACGAAGACAAGGGAGTACTGAGACAGTTGGATATTCAGCTTCGCGCGGAAAGTTTGCCCGGATTCGGTGTCGGTTCAAACCAACGTTCGTGATCGTCCGTCGGGTAATAACGAAATAGATTCCCCGAAGAAGCGAAAACAGCAGACCCGCATCTTTCGGGAGAAAAAACGCCGCCTGGAAGAAGCGGAGTGCGAGGAAATGGAACTGCTGTGCCGTTCCCAAGAAATACGGAAGTTCTACCAGAAGCTCAACGCATCCCGCAACGGCTTCGTGCCGCGAGCCGAAATGTGCAAGGATAAAGACGGGAGCCTCTTGACGGACGGACGTGAGGTAATTGAAAGGTAGAAGCAGCACTTCGATGCGCACCTGAATGGCGAGGAGAACGTAGGCACGGGAGACCAGCGCAATGGAGGAAACGCCTACGTCAGTGCAGCAGAGGACAGAACTGACCCAACTCCCACGCTGAGGGAAGTTAAGGATGCCATTCAGCAGCTCAAAAACAACAAAGCAGCTGGTAAGGATGGTAGCCGAACTCATCAAGATGGGCCCAGAAAAGTTGGCGACCTGCCTGCACCGGATGATAGTCAGGATCTGGGAAACAGAACAGCTACCGGAGGAGTGGAAGGAGGGGGTAATCTTCCCCATTCACAAGAAAGGCGACCATTTGGAATGTGAGAACTTCAGAGCGATCACCATTTTGAATGCCGCCTACAAGCTGCTATCCCAGATCATCTTCCGTCGTCTATCACCTAAAATGACCGAATTCGAGGGAAGTTATCAAGCCGGTTTCATTTACGGCCGATCGACAACGGACCAGATCTTCACCGTACGGCAAATCCTCCAGAAATGCCGTGAATACCAGGTCCCAACGCATCATTTGTTCATCGACTTTAAGGCGGCATACGACAGTATCAACCGCACAGAGGTATGGAAAATCATGGACGAGAACGGCTTTCCTGGGATCAGACTGATCAAAGCAACGATGGACGGTGTGCAAAACTGCGTAAGGGTTTCGGGTGAACTATCCAGTTCATTCGAATCTCGCCGGGGACTGCGACGGACTCTCATGCCTACTCTTCAACATCGCTCTAGTAGGTGTAATGCGACGAGCCGGGCTCAACAGCCGGGGTACGATTTTCACGAAATCCGGTCAATTTGTGTGGTTTGCGGACGACATGGACATTATCGCAAGAACATTTGAAACGGTGGCAGAACTATACACCCGCCTGAAACACGAAGCAGGAAAGGTCAGACTGGTGGTGAGTGCGTCAAAAACAAAGTACATGCTAGTAGGCGGAACCGAACATGACAGGATTCGTCTAGGAAGTAATGTCACAATAGACGGGGATACTTTCGAGGTAGTGGAGGAATTCGTTTACCTTGGATCCTAACTGACGGTTGACAACAATGTGATTCGTGAAATACGAAGGCGCATCATCAGTGGAAGTCGTGCCTACTACGGGCTCCAGAAGAAACTACGGTCAAAAAAGATTCACCCCCGCACCAAATGTACCATGTACAGAACGCTAATAAGACCGGTGGTCCTCTATGGACACGAGACATGGACTATGCTCGAGAAGGACCTGCAAGCACTCGGAGTTTTCGAGCGACGTGTGCTAAGGACGATCTTCGGCGAAGAATGAACCACGAGCTCGCTGCACTCTACGGCGAACCCAGCATCCAGAAGGTGGCCAAAGCCGGAAGGATGCGGTGGGCAGGGCATGTTGTAAGAATGCCGGACAACTACCCTGCAAAGTTGGTGTTCGCTACTGATCCGGTTGGCACAAGAAGGCGTGGAGCGCAGAGAGCACGATGGGCGGACCAGGTAGAGCGTGATCTAGCGAGCATTGGGCATGACCGAGGATGGAGAGCGGCAGCCGCAATGTATTCTCTTAAATGTGATGTTGTACAAATAAATGTATGTATGTATTCCCCGTTTTCGATGGTGGAATTCTCACTTGCTCTCCTTTCATGTAACAACTCAGCTCCAGGAATGGATAGCACCAAGTTCAACTTGCTTACAAATCTCCCAGACGTCGCGAAGAGACGCTTGTTGAACTTATTCAATCAATTTATGGAGCGCAATATTGTTCCGGATGACTGGAGGCAAGTAAAAGGTATCGCCATTCGAAAACCCGGTAAACCCGCGTCGGATTATAACTCGTACCGTCCCATCGCGATGCTGTCCTGTATACGGAAATTGTTGGAGAAAATGATCCTTTTTCGTCTAGACAAATGGGTCGAGTCGAATGGTTTGCTTACAAATTGGCAGTTGCTTGCGTTGCTTTCAACTGAAATTCAACTGGCCTATGCGCAAAAACAGCAAATGGGTTCAGTTTTGTTGGACATTAAAGGGGGCTTTTGATTCTGATTGTATTGATGTCCTTTCGGATGAAAATTGCTCGCTAAGGCAGCTTGCAGATGACGGCGTTGTGTCCGTTATAGGGCCAAATGCACCGGACCTGCAAGGACCATTGCAAGATACCTTAGACAATTTGTCTACTTGGGCTATGAAGCTGGGTATCGAATTCTCTCCGGAGAAAACTGAGTTGGTTGTTTTTTTTTCTAGGAAGCATCATCCTGCACAGTTACAGCTTCGACTAATGGGTAAAACAATCACTCAAAGTATTTCTTTTAAGTATTTAGGTGTCTGGTTCGATTCCAAATGCACATGGGGAAAACATATTGCGTATCTGAAATAAAAATGCTTCCAATCCGCAGCAAAAACACACATCCTTAAGCTGCAACGGATTCAATACCGTTGCCTTCGTATTGCGCTAGGCTGTATGTACTCGACTCATACGATGAGCCTCGTAGTACTCGCGGTTGTTCTCCCACTGACAGATCGTTTCGGTGAGCTGTCTCTCCGGTTTCTCATCCGTTGTGAAGTAATGAATCCTTTGGTAATAGAACACTTTGAGAAGCAGCTCGACCGAAATCCTCAAACAAGATTCATGAGTTTGTACTATGAGTACATGACGCTGGAGGTTGGTTCTTCTCCATTAGTCTCCAATCGTGATTGCTTTCAAGCCTTCTATAATTCCTCTGTAAATTTTGATCTGACCATGATGCAAGAAATCCATGGAATACCAGATCACCATCGGTCGATGGTTGTTTCCTCAATTTTTGCAATCAAGTACCACCATGTAAGTAACGATAAAAGATTTTTCCCAGATGGGCCAACCATAAATGCTTCCACTGGATTTGGTGTATTTAATCAATTTCATAGCGCCTCCTATAAACTGCAGAAACCATGCTCCGTATACGTTGCGGAACTCGCAGCTATATTTTACGCAGTAGAGCGAATTGCCCCACTACCTTCTGACCATTATTTCATTTTTACGAATAGTCTATCACCTTAGCTTGGGTCCCATCTCATTGCTCAATTCCGGGTAATGAGAAAGCGGACTCGTTGGCTAAGGTGGGCGCTATGGAAGGCGATATTTTTGAGCGACAAATCGCCTTCAACGAATTTTTCTCCATTGCTCGTCAGCAAGTCCTCATCAGTTGGCAACAAAAATGGAATGATGGTTACATTCTATTCTCCCACAGGTGTCGAACAAACCATGGTTCAAAGGGTTGGACATGAGCCGCGACTTTATACGCGTTATATCAAGGCTTATGTCCAATCACTGCTCGTTAGACTCGCATTTCTATCGAATTGGGCTGTCAGGCAGCAATTTATATGCGTGTGGCAATGGTTATCACGATATCGAGCATGTTGTTTGGACATGTTCCTTACACCGTGTTGCCAGATCTGAGTTATCCACATCCCTCAGGGCCCGAGGAAAACAACCCGCGATACCCGTTAGAGATGTGTTTTAAAAACGGATAGATTTGAGGATTTAGTAGTTCGTGTCATCTTGTGTTCTCCCAAGTTGTTATCTGCCCATCGGTGTACCCCCATGTTTGTCTTTTTCATCAGAGTGTCGCCTAGTTCGAGATCAAGAGCACATTGCTCTCCAAACCTTGTGTTCACAATCCCTACCCTGCCATCCATTTGTTACCATTTGTTACCCCTAACCTCGAGATAGCCGCGAGTAATCGGCCCCCGCTTTACTAACGTTAGTTTTAAGTAATTTTGTAATCTAAACAATGAATATCGGCTCCGCAAAGCTACAGCAGATGAGCCTGGGAAAATAAACGCATTATAAAAAAAAGATGCTATTTTCAAATAACAGACTAAAGTGGTAATTTTTATACGATAGATGAGGAGATGAAAGTATAGAATTGATAGTTCCGTTTAGAGTACAGCAGTGTGAAAATTGCATATAGAGAGTAGAAAGCGAGCTAGGACAACTTTAGGAAGGTACCAATCGGTTTTATCATCTCTCTTTACCAAACTCCCCCTTTGGAGAGGGCTGGTGAGGGGCGTTCACCGAGTTCTGATAATCCAGAATATTATCAAAATTGTCCAAGATTTGCCAACCAGTCAGCCAGCCAATCCTAATTTCCCAAATCAACATTCCCACACATTCAGCCATACACAGTACCTTCACGACCACTCCGCCGACGTCAAACGACTTTCCCCTGCCGCACGACCAACAACCGCCTTCCGAGCGGTTACGCTTGCGTGACTTGATCGGGAGGAGTCAACTGCAGTACATCGACTACAAGGTGGAATACGGTCTTCGCTACGATCCGACCGTGTTTGCAAATAAATTCAAACGGCAACAACCACAACGAGAACAACAACACTTCTCACCCTCTCTAATCACCACCACCGCTGAAAACGGTACTTTGACGGTGAAAAGTGATAACGCCACTACATTCACCTTCGCTGACTCCGAGCTGACGGCGGCGGCGGCGGCGTTGGCGACGATCAGCAACAGCAGCGGAAATATCATGAGACCACCAACTCGAGTGGAAAGCGCATTCGAGCTGCTCGGTGAGCGACTGAAGGTACTCATCCTGAACAGCTTGGTACCGAATTCTACCGAAAGCAGAGTTATCCAAAAGTTGAAATCACCGCTGACTTTGTTCAGTTTGTTCAATGTAATCAAATTTGAGAATAGACCGTGCATAGCTCGGCGCGAACAGTTGGCTACATTCTATGGTATTTGCTATCACGAGATGGAATGCAGCCAGCTGGGAGGAGTTCCCATGGATCTATGCGCCGGAGGGTTTGGAGTGTGCTGCGTCTGTAAGTTCCATGTTTCGAATTTATTAGATTGATTCAGATGTTAATGCAGCGAGGTGTGAATTTATAGTCCAACTGGGGTGTAACGATCAAACCGCGCAGAACATCAGCTACTTCCAGAGTCCCAACTATCCAGCTGCGATGCGGACGAAGCTCACGTGCAGTTTCACCGTGGCCCTGCGATGGAACGTCAGACAGGTGCTGTTGGAGTTTATATTCTTCGAAATGGGACCACCCACGGAGGGAAACTGCCTGGAGGATCAGCTAATTATATCCGTTCAAAATGGCTATTTAAGATACCCCATTCTCTGTGGCGTCAACAGTGGACAACATTGTAGGTCTCGAAAAAAGCAGATTTTTTCCTCATTGTAAAATATCTTTATTCCTTTCCCAGTGTACCTTCAGATCGATCGAGATTATTCACATTTCCTGTACTTGACGGCGGTATCGAACTCCAACGAGCCAAAGGCATTCAACATCCGAATAACACAGGTAATGTATGCAACCACAGGCAGGGAGTCGACAATTGGAAACTAATTTTTCGATACCAGCTCACAACACCGGAAGCTTCCGATGGGTGTTTGCAGTACCACACAGGCATTAACGGGTACATCAAGTCGTTCAATTACGAGGACCAATCGGTGGTGGTCACCAACAGGAATCCCAGCTATTTGGTAGGTAATCCTCGAATTCGGAAAATGTAACATCGCCAAACTTACCTCACTACAGCTTCATTTTCTAGTTGATTTCAACACAGCACTTTCCTCCTAGCAAGTATCACAATTTGCAACGCGCAGTTGAGTCGATCGATTCTATTTTTCGATCGAAATATCAACAAAACTGATAAAAATATCTACTTTTCACTGATGATAAGCGGAGCACTTTTCCACCCAGAGATGAATCAAAACAAACACATCGCGTAGCATTTGAAAAGAGACTATCATGTTTTGTAAACTAAATTTGTAGGGCCCTTTTCGCGCGAACCGAAGTACGTCCACGCAAACTAACAATACCATCGGGTAAGGGAAAATATCTCCTTGCCGATAATGTTCTTGGTTTGCGTGGGCGTTCATTGGTTTCCGCGAAAAGGGCCTTACAAGTTTTGTTTACCTAAGATGATAATGTCATATTATGCCCTTTTCAAATTTTATGCGAGAGACTTATCGTAGATTTTGACAAATAAATGCATGCGATGTTTTTTTGCTTCTAATGCGAGACTGGCTGCGTACAGTGGTAAACAAAACTGTTGGTGGTTGGGGATGTTCGAAAATTTAGCAAATTCTGGCAGGTTTTTAGTTTTATGAGCTGTGTTTTATTTGGTGAATTTTCGCGCAAACAATAAAACAACGTTTTATTATAGAAACAACGGTGTACAAAATCTCATAAACGAAACAGTAAACGAATTAACATTGTATCGAGGAATACGCATACAGCCGGCATTGTGTTTGCTATTGTTTTGTCCTGTGAATAGAAACTCTCGCGTCACTCTTTTGTCACTTTTATTAGACTCTGTGACTCTAATAATCTTAGTATCGAACTTTATTAATTTCAAACTTAAAAAAAATCAAATGTCTAAGACAAAGGATTTAACAAATTTTCAAAATCTTGGAATCAAACAAAATTGTGAAACCAAAAGACATTCATTTGCGATATTTTGAACTGAGCAAAACTAAATTTAATATTTATTTTTATCAAGATACAAAGAATATAAAATGATTTTTCAATGCTGATTTATCTTTCTTTAAAGTATGATCACTACATTCGAGATCTACCCTGGTATATTTTGAAACTTTTCTACACTTTCGCTCAAAATTATCATTTTAAGAAAGCTGTTTAAAATATGAACTCAAAATGTTATAATGAAAAAAATAAAAAATCAATTGTGTGCACTAAAACCAACAATCAATACGAAACTAACGATTTTAAATTGGCTCAATACTTGACTAGCCTATTGGTCCCAAGCAAACGATTAACGTACCCCATTCGAGTCAAAATTCTAGTACTACACTATGTTTGTTTTGATTTGCTATGAAAGTTTGACAGATAAAATGAGGGGTTAGTGGATTTTCCTATGTTTCGAGGGGTGAATCGATTAGCTTGGAACCGAAGAGAGTACCAGAGCTGAGCCAAAAAGTTGAGCACGTTTCTTCGGGACCTTCTAGTCTTAGAGTTACCTCTATGCTAAAACATATTTTTATCACAAACGAAGTGACAGACTACTAACTGGCGAAGAAATCAATTAAAATAATGTGGTTCACTGTAATAAAATTGTCTTAAAAGCTTGTGACTTCATCCACTAGATGGGCTAGTATTTTTGTTTTGATTTGAACAAAGTTGATTTTCCCTGGGCTTTGGCAAAACCTTTACACTGGAGTCGCTTTTTACGCGGGTGATACGTCCCGCGTAAAAAAAAACCGCGTAAAAAAACCGCGTAAATTCCGGAATCCGCGTAAAAAAAAACCGCGTAAATTCCGAAATCCGCGTAAAAAAAAAAACCGAGTAAAAAAAAAACTGTGGAAGAAAAAACCGCGTAAAAAGCGATATACCGCGTAAATTCTGAAATCCGCGTAAAAAAAAACCAAAATCCGCGTAAAAAAAAACCGCGTAAATTCCGGAATCCGCGTAAAAAAAAACCGCGTAAATTCCGAAATCCGCGTAAAAAAAAACCGCGTAAAAAAAAACCGTGTAAAAAAAAACCGCGTAAAAAGCGACTCCAGTGTATGTTGTTTAATTAGGCTACCAGGTCCCAGGGCTGATCTGGATCTTTACCACATTGGAAAGTGCACACTAGTGTTGCCAGATCAGTGTTGATGCTTACCAAAAGTGCATTTGAACCCGCTTATAAAAGCATATTAACAGATTAATCATAACCGTACATTGTGTATTGCTCTGTACTAATAATAAATGATTAAGCACAGCATTTGATATTTTAGTAGGAATGCTGGATTTAGTCGCAGTGGAAATCAATCCTTTATTGAATTGGATTTATTTCTATGGATTTGCACGTTTGGAAACTAACGGCAAGTCCAGGTTCTATACAGTGGAATGCCACACGGGAATTCGGAATTACGGAGAAATAACGCACACGCGAAATACTAGAAAAAACAAGTTTACTTTATTAAGCGATTAAAAGAATACACGCGGTTGTTACGCTTTTCTAATGAAGATGAACTTTACTCGCAGCTGTCACGTACCGAACCAAGGTTGCGCATATGGTAGGTGAACTCCATGAGGTGAGGACGGGAATCAACGATGTGTACAGAAGAGGTATGCAATGTCCCGTTCAACACTCCCCCTCAATGGATATCTCTTCAGTTCTCCTTTAGCCCGAGCAAGGCTTGGTCATGATATCTGCAAGCATCCGATCAGTCGGACAATACTCTAGTCGTATTTGCTGTTTCACACACAACTCCTGAACAAAACGCTCTCTTGTGTCTATGTGCTTGCTGCGTCTGCTTTTTCTCTCGGAACGCACGAATGCCAAACACCCTTGATTGTCCTCCATTACGAGGGTGGGTTGATTCTGGGTTTCACCGAAATCATTCAGAAAACGAAGAACACGCTTCGCTGCGGTCCAGTCGCTCTCACGAGGTTCACTAAAGTTTCGTCCCAGAATCGCTGCGGTTGCTGTTATGTCTGGTCTTGCCACGACAGCCAGGTACAGAAGACCTCCAACGAGACTACGGTACTTCGTCGGATCCTCGAATGCTTCGCCTTTATCCACCATCTTCAAATATCCGGGATCCATCGGCGACTTTGCTGTCTTGCACTGCTCCATCCCAAACTCATTAATTAACTTGTCGATGTAATTCCGCAGACTTAGCTTGAACACTCCATCAACACGTTTGACTTCTACACCGAGAAAGTTAGCTCGAATTCCATTTGCAATCCTCGGCAAATCTTCTCTATTTTCGTTTCATCCGTTGATCCAACAAGAAGGTCATCTACATACACCATCAGGAACACTTTCGCTTTACCGGAAAACGTTTACATATAAAAACACCCGAACAACGTTTAGTTCTAACGTTTTGTACATCCTAAAACATCCTTAAAACGTTTGGTTCTAATGTCAATAGATTGAAATTTTTGACGTCAGACCGACATTAGAATGGCAAAATTTTGTTCCAAAATTTCTGATGTATACACCATGTTACGTTGCTTAAATACAACTAAATCATAATGTTTTCTAATGTTTGACATCAGGCATACATTTGATTTCGATGCTGATGTAGACATCAAAATCAAACGTTGGGCTAATTTAAATTTCTATTCGGGCCGCCTTCCTTCACATACAAACACGGGTCGGCTGCAGCTGCTCTGAACCCGTTCTTTACCAAGACTTCATCCAACCGTTTATTCCAGCAACGAGCTGACTGGCGTAATTCATAAATGCTTCGTTGAAGCTTACATACTAGTTGTTCCTTGCCAAGTACCTCGAAACCAGGTGGCTGACGCATGAATACGTCTTCTTCAAGAGATCCATACAGGTAGGCTGTCTTAATATCCAAATGGCGTACAAACATATCGTGCTTTGACGCCACCGTGAGAAAGGTTCGAAACGTTGCCTGACGTGTGACTGGAGCAAACACATCATCCACGTCAACACCCGTTCTCTGCGTGTAGCCTTGAGCAACCAGCCGGGCTTTACACTTCACGATCTGGTTGTCTTCGTTGCGCTTCACCTTGTAGATCCACTTCGAACCGATTACCTTTTGATGTTTCGGCCGTGGAACTAGATTCCAAGTCACGTTTTTCTGATGAGCTTCGAGTTCTTCCTTCATCGCCTCGCACCACACAGGATTCTTCAAAGCTTCTTGATGGTTAACTGGGCCTTCCACTGCACAGGCTGCAATTCCAACGGCGAACTCGAGATCAAAATCTTCCAAGTACCGCGGTCGTTTTCCTTGATTAGACCGCTTCGATTGACGAAGATCCGAACTCGGTGCACCTTCATCCTCATCTTCACTGTTGTCTTCAGATGCCGATGTGTAACTGTCATTAGTCTCTTCACTATCTGGCTCTTCCTTCTCTTCTTTGAAGGGAATCAGCTGTATGTCTTCATCCGGAGTCTTCTTCGATTCAGCAACTGGAAATTCCACCGACGACGATCCGTTTCCAAGCTCAATGAACCGAGCGTCGCGGCTAACGGTGATCAAATCCGTTTCGAGATCCACAAATCGATACCCTTTTTGCTCAATCGCGTAGCCGATGAACGTAAGCTTTCTTGCCTTGCTGTCCATCTTCTTTCGCTTGGTATCCGACACGTGTACAAACGCTACACTGCCGAACACACGGAGATGACTGAGATCAGGTTTTCTCCCCCACCAAAGCTCATAGGGAGTCTTCCGGATGGATCTGGAGGGAAGACTATTTTGAAGGTAGGTTGCTGTGAGAATTGCCTCACCCCAGAAGCGCTTCTCCAATCCTGCATCGACTAACATGCACGAGGCCATTTCCCCTAGCGAACGATTCTTTCGTTCAGCAAGTCCGTTTTGCTGAGGGGAATAGGCGGTGGTGAACTGCTGTTGAATTCCTTCATCTTTATAGAACCCACGCAGCTCCTTATTGATGAACTCTCCCCCTCCATCCGATCGCACCACGCGCGGTTTTCGACCAAACAGGTTTTCGACCCATCTGACGTAGTCCTTAATATTTTGTGCTGCCTCTGACTTGT